TTTTTTTGTCCTAAAAATATCAATTTTGACTTTAACAGACTATATTTCCGGACAAAGACAGGTGTAGCGGCACTTTGGGATATTACGTCATTAGGAGAAGCGTATTTGGATTCTGTATTCTAAAATACCTTAGTTTACAAAATTTCAATTATGGACCTCTCAAAACTGTTTTGATAATGTTTTATCTTTGAAATAATATCTAAGATACCTGAATTTTCAAGATCTGGTCCGAGGAGCACCAAAGGATGAACGATTCCTTTGGAAATAACAATGAAAAACAAAGAAATTTTAGCCAGGCGGTTATCATTAAAATATGTCTTTGAAATATTTGAAAAGATAATTATATTGTTGTAATACACTCATTTTTTATAAGAAACTGGCTATAAGAAACGAGTACTGGACAGTCAGAAAAAATTAAGAAACTTCATTACTCGATGCAAAAAAATTTAGAAACTATTGAATCGTGAGGAAACTGAGAACAAAAAAATTTTGTAAAATCCAAGAACATGATTGCCCTGATGGCCTAGAACTTAAGACACAAGAGATAAAAATATACTTCCCACATCGAAATACAGCATCGGAACGGAAGCGAATCTTTTGACGTGGAAAAAAGGTCACGAACATTTCATAACATCATTCATGACATCATAATTAAGAAACTCTTAAGAAACAGTGAGTATTGAAATTACCAGAACATTAAGAAACTGGAGTACTCAACATCGACCTTTGTTTCTTATAAAAAAAATGAGTGTACCGTGAAAAGTCCAAAAAGGAAATATATAAAAAACTATTGGAGCATGAAAACTATTGGGGCATAAAATAAAAAGCTCATTTCTTTAAGAAACTTTGTTGATTTTTATCACAAACAGTTAAAGAACTTTTTAAGAAAACTATGTTGCAAATATAAGATGATAAAAATGCTTTTAAACTGAACTTAAGTGACTTGAGGCTAATGATTACGTTTGAGAGTGATTTTTGACAAAAGATTCCAAAAGCCGCTTGTTTAGTTTCCTCATGCAATAGTGTAGCTTTATATGGTATTCAAATGCACCCTTGATGGCTCTAAAAGGAATAAATCAATATTTTTCTGGTTTGATACGTCTTACTAAAACAAAATTTTCCACTCTTGTGACTTCCAATACAAATGAATCTCATGGCCCTCATGGGCTGGGTGCTTTTGGTACAGATAAATATAACGCGTTAAGTGGAATAGGTCTTGATTATGTGCTCCAATCCAAAAAAATTTTGCGTCAAGATGTGGTCAACTGCTTCCGTCAATAGCAGTGGTGGATTTAGGGGGGGGGGGGCAGGCAGTTGCCCCTTCCTCGACGAGTTGCAGCAAGGCTGGCACCCCTTTTTTAGAAATTGTGCGCCCCTTTTGAAGAATGCGTTGAGACCGATAGGTTAATTTGCTTCAAGGATTACCTCAAAGTTATGTTGTTTATTCCAAAAATGGATCTGAAATTGTTGTATACAGCGTACTCTCGTCACCAATTCTTGAAAATTTTTCAGCGCCCCCACTACCAACTGCCCCTCCTTCAAATTTGCTCTGGATCCGCCCCTGGTCAAGAGTGTACAAAATTTCACGAGAAGGGCACCACAGGATGAAAAGTTATGTCATATGGAATATTTCAATCATACCACTAGTGGCTCCTAACTTCAAAACTACATAGCTTACGGTCAGAAACTGCTTTTGGAATCGGGAAAAAAGCATGGAAGGAATATTAAATCTTTCGTTACTATGATGTCATGAATGATGTTATGAAATGTTCGTGGCCTTTTTTTCACGTTAAGAGATTCGCTTCCGTTCTGACGCTGTATTTGGACCTGGGAAGTACATTTTTATCGCCTGTGTCTTAATTTCTAGGCCATCAGGGCAAGCATGTTCTTGGATTTTACAAAATTTCAGCATGAAAAGCAACCCCTAGTAACAAGGATTTTTAATGAAAATTTATGCCTGAAATATAATGGGTCCATTGAAAACTATGGCTGGTGGGGTTACATCTATTTTTAGGACATCGGACATCGGAAGCGGGAACTTTACTTTCACAATCTATTAATTTTACCGCCAAATCATATTAATATGACCAACAAGCCACACATGCTCATACCCACCCAGGGCCGTCGCTAGCTTTTTGTCAAGAGGGGTGCCTAGATCTCGTTTGTCGACAAAGTGATTGAACCATCCTTTATTTGCCGAACAATTTTAAAGTTTGCTGACGAAGCACCCTTGGATGGTACTCGTTTTTAAATTGGGTTTTTAAGGGGATGTCAGTTGCCAAACGCTTCCATGGCCGTACTAGCCAATCAAACATGACCAATCTTTAATTATATTAATTTTTGTGCTAGCTTTTGTGCCAGAATGTGCATGTGCCAGCCTAGAGGCATCACAGTGATGTTGCAGTGACAAAAATATGCAAAGTATATCTGACATCAATATGTGTCTTAATTTTGAAATCTTTCTACCTTTTTTTACATTTTATCTAATGCGATCCATGTCATTTCTACAGGGTTTACTGGGGTCCTGAGACAAGTATTTAAAAGCGCTTGACGAACGCCATGATATGAATGAGAATTTTAAGTACTGTGGTACCCGCATATAAGAAAGAACGTTTTTAATTTCAGGTCTGATTTGTTTTCTATAAACGAGATAAACTTCATATCACGGGTAAAGTTTCTTATCTGAAAAAACATGTACTGTCGATTAACTACTCAGATAGGACCTCTATTATTGTGATACAGAATATTTAATTTAAGCCTGCCAAACAGCACTATGTATACACCATCTTATAAAAGTGTTTGGTTATGTTTCTTAAATATTTCGATACTTTTTTTGCGGTCCAATTCCTCACAAATTTTCGAACTTCCCTTTTCCCTAAAATCTAAAATACAAGCACAAACAATATGAGCACTTGTATCCACCTAATTCATGGTGATAAAACCAAAACTGAGCTTAAAAAAGTCGCACTGGTGTATAGGGATATCATAAGAAATGACGTACTTGCAATAATTACATGCAATAACGGTAGTTTCGTCCAGGAAAACATTTCATCAGCTCAAAGCGAACACCCTCAATAAAACAACAGGGCCCAGAAAACTTGTCAACCTTCCTCCGGCCAAGCAAATCTTACTTTAAAACCTTCTTCACTTAGGTTATAAACATCTGTTAATGGGCGTGGTCAGGAAATTGGGGGTACTCAACTAGTCTTGATCCCCTCTCCTTGCAACACTGTTCTTCAAAAAAATTTAGAAATTGTGGCTTGTTTTTAAAAGTAGATACTTCTTTGAGACAGATGCAAAGCTAAATGCTTATCATGCTAAATGTCAATTAAGAACAAAAGCGCATCATAATTTAATTAGATAAATAATAAAAAGCTTATGTCTTAATTGGACAGAGCAAAGCGGTTCCACAAGCACATTCACTATTAAAAAACAGGGGGTTATAAATACTGTTTGATTTTATTTCTTTTTGTCTCAATGTATTTTGAAAGGCAAAAGGCAATACGACTTCTGCAACTTCCTCAAATTTCCAAATTTTTGGTCACCTTCCTCAATTTATTTTTTGCTACAATCTTCCTTCCGCCAGCTAGTGGCCGTGATGTTTTCCTGATGTTTTGAGGTAGCTTGGGACAGAATAAAGTTTTTTCAAACCCCTATTTCTGCATAAAAGTATATCACAATGAATACTGAGTCCAAGGGGTGGACTGGCCCACATCAGACCTAATGTTAACTTGAAACAGTCGGATTTAAATCTAAACAGATATCTGTATCATATTGATGAAAATGTATACCTGAGTGTTATACCTTATAATGTTGAGATATGTACACATTTTCATGTACAGACCGGGAGGGTTCCAAAATGAAACACTGAGCTTCAAGCTTACAGTAACCTGGTGTAGCTTTCAGAGATAAATCGGAGTTGCAACTTAGAACCATTCTATACACAAAAAATTCAGTATAAATATATGTCTAATAGATGTATACGTCCCAACCCCATCTTTGTTATGGTTAGAATTCTACCTTCATGAGTTTTGTTGTTTACTTGCAGAATCATTTTTGATGCCTAGGTGCGAAACTCTGTGTGAATTTTCGAGGTTAAGTTCACCTGCTCATGGAAATATTAGGTGACCAACACTTTTACAGGAAATTGGGTTAATTTCAAATACTGTAACTATCTTGATCATACATAATACGAATCACTGCTAAAATCCTCTCCGCTCCACTCTTCTATACACGCGCGGCTCTTGTACTCAGGGTGTCCCCGCAGTAAAAACTCGCGAATGCGAGCCAGTCAATTAAAAATGACAATACTTGCTTTATGAAAATATTCCACTTAATTCATGTTCTCAACACAATAACAAACAGAAACTAAGACCTTTATCTCACACCATTAACATTCTTTTTGCAAAACATAACTTAATTTAAAAAAATGACCAAAGACTGCCTGAAAATATTGATTCCCTTTAACGGTTTATACTGTAAATGGAGGATTATCTGTATTGGTTTCAAATGAAATAAAAATGAGAAACATGATTTTCAGTGCCGAGGGGTTAGCCCCTTTCCTGAATATCACCGCAGCGATATCAAATTCTCGCTAGTTTTTGAGGATGCAATAGACCAGAAGACACGAATAACTCCACATTTTCTGTGTATCATTTTCTTCAACTTATTTCCAATCTAAAACTACCGAACTCAAATATTACCACGAAAAACCGTTTATCACAAGCAGTGGCGCAGAGAGGGGGGGGCAGGGGGGGCAATTTTCCCCAGGGCCTTGGCCTAAAAGGGGCCCCCAAATTATTCTGAAAATTTTTTTAAAATGTCTTCTTTTGCGAAACTGAAAATGCATTTAAAGATCAATTTGCAACTGAAAAAGCAAACGTGCGCAAACGTTTGGAAATAATGGGCGTTTCCCATTTTATAAAGGGCGTGGTCTCGAAAATTTTTTGTATCCGACTCTAGGGCCCCAACCGGGACTTTGCCCCAGGGCCCAGGCCGTCTCTCGGCGGCCCTGATCACAAGATTATCACTACTTGACCAATGAAAATGCAAGATCTTACAAAATGGGTGTAGTGCGTTTAATCCTTACAAATGTGACAATAGATGTGCGTCAAAAACTTAAAAGGTGAAAATATTAATGACTCTAGTGCGAATACATCATCTCTTAGCAACTTACTGAACGATAAACCAAAACATGACGTCAAAATAATGTGCGCCTGCGAAGTTCTTTGACAGCCCCCTATGTTAAAAGGGAGATTTTGGGGGTCAACGAACCCTTAGCAAGCCAGTATATGTTTGGTTTTGCGAATACCTTTTATTTTGCAATCGCAGAAAGGCAACACAACTGCAAGTATATAGGGTGCGGTCAAGGGTGTGGTCTTGTGTTTGTGTGTGGCTTCTAGAAGCTTCCAAAAGCACAGCCCCTTTCAAATTTTTAAAGACGGCACCTCTGTTCTGTTCAGCATTACATCTAGGCGTGTCAGTTAAAAATGACAAAAAATGTCAACATTCATAAGACGTAAGACATAAGACATGAGACATAAGACATAAGACATAGACATAAGACATAAGAGTTTTCATTTCAACCAACAAGAATTACAATTTAAGTTATGAATAATAAAAAAATAAAAAAACGAGTACATGAATTGGACTAGGTTTACCATAATCTATGATACCAAGTGATTAAGTTAATGAAATTGAAACAACTGAGGTCACTAGTTCTTAAATGTAACTGCTACAAAAGAAGGAAGAATTCACAATTCAAAATGCTGAAAAAGACAGGATGCAGATGCGGGGGGCCGACACTTGACACTTGCTAACGGTATCCCCAGTCTAATCCCATCATACTACTAGATAAGCTTCGTTTAGACCTATGTGATTATGTAGAAGTAACGTTTGTGCTGATTATCATTAATGTACTGAACACGAGAGAGTCTTTGCGTTGCATATATTACACAGACCCTAGCTTGTGAATTACCCTTGTTCGATCACAAGACAAGGGTACTCTGTTCCAGTCCTCCGCAGAGGCTTCGGCAGACAATAAACTGGCTTTATGTGGTTTTTCTCATGACACTCGAAGCGGAAAAAGCTAAAACAGTGTTGTTTTGCTTCAGAATAAAGCAGGTTTTGAAACCTATGACGTCAAACAGAAGACACAAAGAAGCAAACATGTTTGTAAAATATATCATTTAATAAAAAGATTAGCATAAATTTCAGACAATACAAACAATATGGTAGTAAATGTTATGCAAAAAACTAATAAAGAGACATTCAATGCCTTAACAACCTTTAAGAGAATTGACCACAAAATTTTATACGAGCGTTCATCAACTTTTGTAATGTTGTGAAAAGATAAGGAAAATCTTTTAGATATAAAGGAAGTGTCACTACTTGGAGTTGATTGAATAAAACAGAATTGATATTAAAAAAGTGAGTACTTATTATCAAATAATGTCGTTGTGAAGAGGGTTTTATTCAACAACCCAGAAGAACGGTGGCCCCTTGGAACATAATTAACACTGGTAATTTGACCTTATGTTATTATGATGGGGAGGGAGGGGGAGGGGGGTGTTTGGGTGAATAGGCGTGGACGTGCAAATCTAATAACGCAATAAATCTCTTCTATGGGTTTATTTGACAAGAAAAGCTCAAAAAATAATATTACTTTCCTATTGTTATTTACAGCTTACAAAATTAGCTTACAAAATGTATCGGAAAGTTTTCAAACATGTTCAGGCATTGTTTTCGTATGCATATGACTGAACACTAACAAACCACACCAAAGTAGTAAGTAAAAATGAAGTCTATCGATGGGCTGTTTAACGCCATCCTCTGTGAAAGGAAAAGACAACAGACAACCAAAATACCCATTTAAGGGTGAATTTTTCGCGACTGTTACTAGATTCATGAGTTTCTATGCTTGTAAAATAAAATAGCAAAGTGGATCCTCAAAAATTGTAACAAAATTATTATGTTTAGGCAGATGCATTGCAACAGTCTCGAAAACATCACCCTTCATAACTGAAAAAACCACACAATTGGAATGGAATGCGAGTCTGCCTTTGAAGGGATGAAAATACTGCCACAAGAATATCAATCCAGAAGAATTGGGTTGACATAACGAGAAATGCAACCACAAGCTTGTCAAACGAAACAGCGCTTAAATAGCTGTGGTTTGGCCTATTGCAGCATAACGATCAGTGGCTGTAATAGGATAGATATTCTTAAAGCCTGTGCTTCTTTGGCTCTTCTCCACGTTGACATCACATTTCTGTGGCCTTTTTAAGAATAATTATACATGCTGATAATAAACTCATGCGTGGTTTTATAAAAAATATGTGGCATCTAGGCAAAAAACTAGCGCTGCATTGGTAAAAAACAGGACCTCTCTTCATAGAGGTTAATGACAGTACACTGTGACAATAAAGTACAAGGCCAAAGTAGCGGCGATTGGAAGGAATGATTCTGAGAAGTATAACAGAGCATTGCCTATTGTTGAAATCAGGGGCGGACACTTGATAAAATATTGGGGAGGGGGGGGGGGCAAACCTATTGTTTTGATAAGATGATGTCCCATTTTCACATTGTTTTAGAGCAAAAGACCATTGTCTTCCAAAATATTTCGACAGAAATTACGGAATTCAAAATGTCTTTGCAAGCACATCCCCGTTTATTCCATGGAGGAGGGTTTGGAAGGCCATTATTTCCAACCTCGAAGTATCCCGGATAGCAAACAGGCATATTGCAAGTCATGAATATACAGGAATATTCGATTGGCTGTCTATCGGTCTTGTGGATCACTGAGAAGATAATTATTTATATTAACTTTTCTAAACAAATCATCTCACAGCTGCATGAAATGCTCCATTTAAATTGTATTAGACTTTGCCTGTATTCGTCAAATAACAAAAGATGTTTACATTTTTACAAATACACATGGCCTAACATAAAAACGGTTGTAGAGCCTAAATATGAAGTTACTCGTCATTAATTAAAAATATAAGCTACCTATCTGTAAATGATAAAACATTCTTGAAATTCTCAATAAATAGATATTATAAAATTGATTTATACTACAAATATAAAAATGAATTATAAAGTACATCAAACATAATCACGCTGCACTCTTTGAACAACCAGTTGCAGCCTCCTGCCAGCCCGTTGTAAAAGTGGGACCACTTGGTCACATGTTAGTTCGCGTGTATTGATACCATTGACCTGGGAAAATCATATATGCAACAATTAAAATAAGGAACTCGTAGACAGCAATTCAGCGGTACAGAAACGCCACTGAGACCAACGGGTGCCACCAACATTTTCCGACGAGGTGGCCAAACGCTTACAAAATCTTTGTCACAGCAGCGGTTTTAGGGACTGTTGGGCCAGGGACTGAACAAAATCTGCAAAGCCATTGTTCTTTACAATTGCTTTTCTTTGGTGCGGGGCCCCTTTAGGCTACCTTAAGCACGGGGCCTGTGGCCATTGCCCCCTTGGACCCCCTAAAACCGCCACTGCTTCTTTACCACAAATGTTGAAGATCCACAGAGGACGTTGGTGAGCTTGTTATAAAAGAGTGGGAAAGCTTTCATTTAATGCGAGAGTTGAATTACGCAATATACACCCTTTATTTTCCCAACCATGTTCTGAACTACGATGTATTTCAATAATTCAGTTTCTGAAGCCGCAGCTCAGCCACAATAAGTAAAAGAGTAAAATTTATTTTCAAACCTGCATAATCCTGTCATATTTCTTCAGTTTGCCTGATTTTCCAGTATTTGACTGAATAGAGTTTACGTATATACCTTTGCCGTCGATTCGCTCGGAAATACTAAATCCAAAGTCTTTATCAAACTCGTTTTTTGTTAGGACGATTCGGTGCGTTGAGGTCCGAAGCTTGTCATCATTGTTTGATTCAATGCCGTGTTCTAATTTCTTTCCGAGTTTGCTATGACTTGGCGCTGATGGACTTTCAATTTTCGCGTCAGCTGTTGAATATCCACTGTCAAACCGCGAAAACTTATCAAGTTTGAACGACGGGCCTAAGTTTGGTGCTTTATCAGCGATTGATTCCACGGAAGATTCTCCTAACTTCTCCTTTATTTCCTTATATTCTGCTTCAGTTTTGCGCTCGAATTCTCGCAAATATCTTTCGCTTTTTGTCATGCCTAACTGAAAGGGCGATTTTGTTAGCGACGTATGCGATTTTTCGCTGTCGGAAAACTTTGCATCCCGATTTTTAAAGCTCTTCAAAGAGCTACTACGATTTGATTTTCTTTCCGGCAATTTAATTTTCTCCAAATTTTCAAAAAATGCGACAGCTTGCGAAAGGCCTCTTACTGAACCTTGATTTGGCAATCTCGATTTTGACTTATTATAATCAAGATTCGCCATGCGAGTAGTACTTGATTTAGGGAGGCCCATGTTTTCTTTTCCGATGCTGGACTTTAACTTTCGTTTACTAAGATAGGTTTCAGCTGTTTGAGAATCCTCGTAACACTGTGACCGCCCGCCATCGACTATTTCATCGACACGAAAGTCGTTTTGAAATTCTGGCGATAGGTAGCGTGTGTTCTTCTCGGATATTTCATTATCCTCGTAGAATGGAAGGGATCTTTTCGGATTATCAAGAATTCGATGAAGATTATCCGTATCCTTTTGGAAAAGGTCGGCACCGGGGTACCCTGCAACATTCGGTGAGACATCGCAATCCGCCTCCGAAGAGTCGTACACGACAACCTCTTTGCGACTTGACGACAACGCACGATTCCAGCTGAACTGCATCCCACTATCATTGTCATCGATAGGCTGAAAAGCGTTCTTGAGCCTGACGTCACAGGCTGAACGCCCGTCGGTCTCAAACAGTGGTCTAGGCATGTCGGAATCAAATGCCCGCGAGAAATTTTCGCTTTTTGTGAATTCTTGGTATCGGTCTTCGCTACTTGCACAATCGTCGTAATTTTTTAGGCATTCTCGTTGCCAAGCAGGAAGCATAGGTCTCTTTGCAACACGCTTTTTGGTGCTGCTAGGCCGGTCACTTGCACTGCTTTGAGTATCAACATTGTCGCTTATGTCACAATAACTCTCGGTACTTGCTGAGCCTTGGGATGTGGGACATCGTTCCTAAATTAATTAAAAAATATTTAATAAAAAACAGAAGAATTCTTATAAATTACGTTGAAAATACGAAGTTTAAATTACGGGAACTAACGGTAACTTACGGGAAAACTTACGGGAAACGTTTTAACCATAATGGCTTAACAAAAACCATCATAATCATCAATTTTTACTTTCAGTCATTGTTATAAACAACCTGAAGCTTGGGGCTCAAACCCCAACACGGAATTTCTCAGAAAGAACTCCGACAGCCTCTTGATGCAAAACAAATTATCGAGGAATATAACGATGAATTTCATCTGGATTTAAGAAAAAGCAAATAAAAGTGCCTTCAAGAAACCTTGTCACAAACCCAACCGAATTGCCCTTGTTCTGTTTTGGCCACAGTCCAGCTGGGTTGAGAGTTATTTTTTCATGAGAGTCGAAATAAACAAAAAAGCTACCTTTTCGACTATATCCTCAAGATTGTTGCTATTCATAACCCACTGTTGAACATCTCTCGATATAGAAGCAGACGTCATTTCGCAGCTGTCAACAGCAGGATTTTTTTCTGGGCAAACAAAAACACAAAATTATGAAATGCCATATATATCAGAGTGCAGCAGTTTACGAGAAATAAAAGAACCAAAATAGAGAGGGCTCATTTCACAAAACAAGAAATCAAAACTATGTTTATCCAGCCAGTATTATCGTAATAAAAATAATAATAATAACAGGTCCTAATTTTCCAATTCGGTAGCAGCTACATGCTCTTTTAATTATTGAAGCAGTATCACAGGCAAGGATCCCATAATATTTACATAACTGAACCAATAATTCAATCATTTTTCCAATCGACAACAGTTTACAGTCAATTTTCAGTTCCTTTTTCAATTTCTGGGCTTCTTGTTGTAAATTTATTACAACGCCACGTGTGTTCAATATTATCTTCTTGCAGGGTATCCCAAAATGCAACATTTATATTACATATCCGGAATTCGAAAACTGTCCGGAATGTCCTTGCTAAGTAGCAGATAAGAATCCTTCCATGATAAGCCCTGGCAAAACGACTAAACATTTCACTAAACATTTCACTAAACATTTCACTAAACATTTCACTAAACATTTGTTTAGTGAAGTTGAGTGAAGTTTAGCGAGGGTGGCAAAACATGACTAAACTTTTCACTAAACTTTGGTAAACATTCTTGAACTGCGACCTGCGTGCGTAGGACGCTGTGGGGATCTTGCATAGGAATTTGCTTTCTGTTTGTTTTGTTGTATGTTAGCATAAAAAGCTTCAAGTGCAAGAAGTGGGTAAAAATAAGAGTCTTATAAAAGAAAAGGAAAAATAAAATAATTTGTAGCACATCGGTAACAAAGGTGACTGTCGAAGAAGACACCGTAGCCTACAAGGAGACGAAGCAAATGTCTTTTGAAGGCATTCTAGAGATTTTGGGTCACGTAGAGACAGGAAAACCGAAAAAACCCTGGAAAACCTTTGGATTCCCACACCTACGGCGCCTGCGCTAGCACAACAAATGTGTAATTGGTGGCAAAGCGACTAAACATTTGATAAACAACACTAAACAACGCTAAACATATTTGACCAGAACCAAACTTTGCTCAACAACACTCAACACGACTAAACAACGCTAAAAAGGGTAGCAAAACGAGTAAACTTTCCACTAAACCTTTCACTAAACAAAAGTTGTGTGAAATGTTTAGTCGTTTTGCCAGGGCTTAACCGTAGTTACACCCCGGAGTAGCTCAGCATTACACCAGCATACCATCTTTATCTAGCAGCTATGGTTTAAATTTAATCCACGGAATTCAAAACAGGATCTCATACCCGAAAGAGTATTACTATCCATTCTAAAGTAGAATATATCCAGATCGGCCTAATTCGATTAATTGTCAAAATTTATTGCGAAAAATGCCAACGAGCGTCTTAAGATGCACAGCAGACGATGCACAGTGCCACAAAGACGATAAATAAAGCCTAGACGATATAAGTTTTCTTATTATTTTAATCATGGATGAATCCTATATGAAAAGCTAAAGATAAGACAATAGCACTTGCAAGTTGTGTATTAAAATTAGTTTCATTAGCCGTTTTCTAATGAACGGTGTCTGAAGAAATACAATGAATAGGCGTTCAGTTTATGGAAATAGTCGATACTTTAGTTTAATCTTACCATACGAATGTCTAGGAACTGAGGCTGCAGTGGTTCTTTTAATCAGCAATTTGACAATATCACCAGCCATTCTTAAGGATTCAAACGCCTTCCAAAGAGGTTTCCCTCGCAGCGTAACTTCGTTTATTGCCAACAGCCTGTCCCCAACCAACACCGCACCACTCCTAGGGGTGAAAATTCGGCTCCATTTAAATTCATAATGAGCTCGATTGAATAAAAAATTCATAAAAAATCATAATATAATATAACATAACATAACATAACATAACATAACATAACATAACATAACATAACATAACATAACATAACATAACATAACATAACATAACATAACATAACATAACATAACATAACATAACATTACATAACATTACATAACATAACATAACATATAACATAACATAACATAACAAACACAACATGTAACATGACAAAAAAAACATATAACATAACATATAACATAACATATAACATAACATATAACATAACATATAACATAACATATAACATAACATATAACATAAAACATAAGATATAGAACATAACATACATAACATAACATACATAACATCAAGATGAACTTATTCTGTTCCCCAGATATATCTTATTAGCATATTATATCTTTGATAAAAAAATGTAAAGACCGAAGCAGACGGATAGGCCTAACCCCAGCCTAAAGAGCAAAGGAAAAAGTTTATACGATCTGTTGTTACCTTACAAGCTTTAAAAACAACCTTCAGTTTTATGTTGAGCAGACCAAAAGAGATTTGCTGCTCTTTAGATGAAGACTTTAGTGAGATTAACTACAGAAAACGCTCTTTAACTATAATTGCAATAGTCGTAAATTGCATTTAGAGACTTTATTGTAGCTTCTAGTAGTTAAATATGAAGGCATGGCTAAACATCGTTTTATAATCAGACTAAGCAATGCAATTTAAATCGAAATGAAATGCCACAAATAATCATATAATACGACAGAACCACACCATTTTTGAAAGTGCGGCCTTCTGTTTTGTCTGCGAGCTCGACAATCCTAATGAACTGAACTTTAGCTTTAAATTCGATGAAAGTCGCAATAACAGTACATAAATATTTATGTCAATACCTAATTAATGATTTAAGAAATATGAATACAATATAAAACAAAACTTGACTATAAGTTCATCAGTATTACTACGAAAGTGTCAAGTGCTTCCGTAGTATACGGCTAAACTAGTTCAAAAGATGATACCTACGTTAAGATACCTTTCTCAAGGACTGAATGATAAATTGGTGTAAAGTACACAATTTGTGAAGTTTGATTGCTTTCCAGAAAAAAAAATTCATTTCATCACATCAAGATGCTTTAAAATTGTTGTCAATTTAAATTTATTGCCATTTTCAAAATGATCCTGAATGATCAGATTACAAATATATCAGAATTTCATCTTAGAATCTTTCAGAACTTCGGGTATCTAAAAGGTTTACTTTCTGCATGTCTTAAAAAATCGAATAGAGACGCCCCCCCCACTTTTGGGTACCTTGTGTTGGGGCTTTGTGCTTTTCTGATTTAATTTTTGGTTAAAGATACTTTTAAAGCATCAGTATTTGAGCATTTTCAATGTTCGTTAGTGTAGTTAATGCATTTTCGACAACAAATCGAACTGACTAAGTCAAACATCGATGAAGCCCATGTTCGAGACACTGTTTGTAACATCCTTTCCTAATCTTTGAAGAAAATAAATGAGTGCTCATTTATTTTCAGCACCAATCGCGAATTAGGCCGAGGTAAAAAGTCGAAAAATTAAACAGTCAAAGCACAAACTGACGTAACCTATATTCTGATTTATCCAGGTTTTTGAAAAATGCAAAACTTATCGACTGGTATGCTAGGGAAATGAAAGCATATCACATTCAACGCGCTGCAGTACTTGGTTTTCTTTGATGATTTTGACGATAAAAGGAAAGGTACCTTCACAGCTTTGGAATCAAAGAGTCTTTGAAAACGTCTGCACAGACTGAGCCATCTGCATGATGCTTTCTATCCACTTTTTAACCCACCGTATCTTCACACTTCATTCCCTGATTATAGTATTAATAAAGCCCACCTCTTATTTTTATTCAACGTCTGGTTTTTTTACTCTAGCAACTTCCTTTTCTGAATTTTCAATGAACTCCATAAGAAAAAGAGCAGCTGCCTCATGTTCAATTGTCATCATCAATTTTATTGAGATCGATCTACCTTTTTTAATTTGCCGGTCTTGCCGTTAAGTTTTGAGACATAAGCTTAACCTTCTCCTAATGCAGGTTGCAAATGCTCTCAAAATTTGAAGTCGAATGAAATATTGAGTTTGGCCGACCCTCTTTAAAATACCTATACATCACTCGAATACATTCAGCAAAAAGCCAAGAGCATTTGCAACCTGCCTTAGGAGAACGATTAGCTGTATAATCAAAAGTCGAGAGCGATTGGTCGGTGCTTCACATGAGATTTCGAGGCGCTTTTTATCAACAACCTAAGAATAATTAAATTATACTAAATTGCATGGTGTTCTTTTTTTACTATTCGGCAATCTCTAATTCCTCACATAGCCGAAGAGCATCAGTGAGTAAACTAACTTTCTGTTTACATAAATGGTACGTGCTTTAAAATAGACCGACTCTCAAACATCTAAAGATTTTAGAAGTGTCCCCAACGTAGGCTTCTGCTTCCAATTCCTCTGTGGTAGAGAGGAAACCCCTAAAAGCCAGCCTTTTCTTTCAGATAGGATTATGTAAGAAAAAACTGGCTGGGATCTTTTCCTAACAATCCGCCGACTGAGTCGGGGACTGCTTTCAGAGCTAGGCAGCGAGAACACGGCTGAAAAACATTTAGGCAATGCAAATAAACAAAAATTCAAAGAGCATCTTTCCTATTATATTGGTTTTAGAAAACTGACCTGCCAGCAATACTTTCTTCTGCAATCGATGTGATGTAAATTGGGTCAAATGGCTCCTCGGATCCTAAATGGGTTTAAAAAGAAAATCATAATCACGATTTAAAAGCCAAGTACAGCTATTATAGTGATTGGCTGAAGTTTGAGCATATAAGAAGAAAGAGAACGACAAATGGCTTCACAGATTGGTTACATAATTATCTTTAGCCTTTTTTATGTAATCAGAATGCAAAAAATAAACTGTGCAACCTTCCTCCCTTCTTCGTGTAACATAAAAATTAAGACAGATTCATTAAAAGGCCTCGTTTCTGCAATGAAAGCAAAGCTGCAGGGTTTGACTTTAAAATGGCTGCTTGAAAAATAATGATGTAACAAGATACCTGATATTGTAATTCCTAATGGTTCGCCTCGCCGATTGAACTCTACTCCAAAAGTGTTACCTGCAAGAAATGGGCAAAATCCAAAATCCAAATGGGCAAACCTCTTGAAAATACCTATTAAAAAACTGGTATGTAACATTGTTAATATTTTTTAAAGATATGGAAGGTGGTCCTTCCCTCCCAAGAAATGTTCTTATAACTTTTTGCGGTTTATTGATTCTTTGTCAAAATGTAGTCTTATAAGTAGGTCATATGAAGCACTCTCTGTCAGCTTAATAAACGCAATTTATTTTTGCTAAAAGAACCGTCTGGCTGTTAATGTAAATGGAGTCTAATTTTCTTATCCGCATGATTTGATGAATAAAACACCGATAAGCAAATAATATAAAACTGGGAGATAAATATTGTAACATTCAAATAAGGCGGTCTCCATAGTTGAACGAATAATTGGTTCCCGTGACAGTCTTCTTTCGCGATTGAATAGGGCCATTTAACATATTTTACATTGGGACTATAAGTCGATGGGAACAGATCTTGTTATCAATGCGGTTTTCATGTTTTCACATAAGTTTTTCCAGGTGTTCCGAGCCTAGATACGCATCATTTTGGCATAGGTTGGAAATAGCAGAACTCATTTTCCCATTGACGCAGCATTATCTTAGAGAGGTAGCCTCCTTTGGGGCCACACACAAATCTATTCTTTCATGAACACTTTAAGTCACAAATCATGGATCTTTTCATACCACCACCAAAAGATTGTTCCTTGTCGTCGTTGTTTCTCTGGCCTAATCCGATAAATTTTATCAGATGCTACGCATGACAGTAGTTCAGCTGAAGTTGTGAACCTTTCGCTTTGATAATGCAAGAAAATGGTAAAGAAATGGGGAAAAGAGTTTGGAAAAACAGGGGAAAAACCTGGTCCTTCTATACAGGCACCCCCATATGACGTTTTGCGAAAAATAATAGGCTTGTGTGTGGCCACATTGAAGATAAGGTACAGCTTTCAGATCGAATCTTCATAAAAAAGCGAATACTTCCAGATTTGGATAAGACAGATTAAGCAGATATCAAAAAAGCAAATAAAGAAAAGTTGGTTGCTGGAGCTAAATGAAGAACGAAGAGCTGAAAGGACAGGATAGCAGCAAAAACATCTAAGCACTTCTATTAATAGCTCATTTAAAGTGGGTGGTGGAACTTAAAGCAAGAGAAAACAAAGTCTAAATAGTTATTCAGGTTGGTTGTTTTCATAAAGGCTTGTTGATAAAACATGTTTGATATTTTTTCTTCGTAGCTGACGACAAAACAGTGTTAGGTACATGTTTAAGGATAAAATCATCGAGGGTCTTTGCAAGTACAAACCAGAGGAGATTTAAGTAGACACATGTTTTACAAAATGCTGCAAAAACTATTTAGACTGTCGCCAAAACTAATTTTAAAATTTCAAATGAAGTTTCTCCCCAAAGACAGTTTGCACTCATGACCGATAAAAATCTGCTATATACACTTGATAAATCTCCTAAAAACTAGAAATTGACCTTTTCGATACAATATGCTAAAGCTGACCTTGAATTTCTTCGTCTTTCTTCACAGTGATTCTCATAACATCATAACATTTTCTTATCAATTCATTTGCTTCATATAAAGAATATCCGCTTGTAGAAGCGCCGTTTATGTGGATGATCTGATCGCCGGGAACAAGAATACCCATTCTATCAGAAATAGAAACAATCGAATCATACGCTAGGATCGATATTTGGCAAAACTGGCATTAGCTCAAAGACACAATGCTAAGCATGGCACAATCAAGAGTCTATGTAAATAGATAAAATGAAACACTTAATGGATAATGATTCGAGCTTCTAACGGTGAGAAAAAACTTGTTCACATCAACAAATGTTTAAATCGCCAAGAGTCTAAGAAGGAAAAATCACGAAGAGGGAGTTCTTAAGGCTCGCATAATGAAGATTCGAGTTATCTGGCAAACGAGTTAACGATTTTGACTTTATTATTTTTTAGACGGCCTTAAAACGTGCTGGGTTTTAAATTAATCTAAAGCTGATTGCAAATGTGCCACATCAAATAAAGGTGTTATGAATTGGCTGAGATACGGCCAGATGAGCGCAGGCTCCTGCTCCACTAAACTTCTGTAATTTGGTCTCCGCTCTGTTAACAACATTCTTCACAGGGCCAAATGAAAAGTGAACCGTTTGCAAATTTCAAATCTTTTATTGGCTACACTCTTTTTTTATAAGAATCAGTAAATTTAAGTTCAGGCTGACTGTTCTTAATTTTTTAGAAAATCTGAGGCTCGATTGCACTTAATTTGTTCTTAAATTAATAGGGTATAAGAAGTGCCATTGCTAGCTTTTTCGCTCATTCACCTACAAAGTGAATGAGACAATCTTGATTTGCTGACAAGTTTGAATATTCACCGAAAAAGCACTCACACTTGGCTAAATATCCTCGTTATTAAGATAAAACGTTGTTCAAAATTGCATTTTACATTAGCTCAGACTCAACTGGTTCTTAATTTGTTCTTAACTTTTGACCAACTTTGAGGTTCTTATAAAATTGTTGTTATAAATAAGAGTGTATATCTCATCCGGTTTTTGGCATTTTTAACTGACTTTGCATGTTTAGAAGTATATTATAAAGTTCTTTTATATTAAGTGGACAAATTCCTAAGTTCTAAAATAGCTTTTTTGTGACGTCAAATTTAAGAACTCTATTCTCTAAAAAGCCAGTTCATCGGTATCAAAACCAATTGTGAAATACTGTCATCCTTATGAATATTCTGCAATTACACACTTACAAAATATATTGTTTTCCTTATATAACTTACTACCTGCATCATTACTATTACTACCAGCAGTTTTTATGAAACATTTAAAACATTGAAAGCCATAGGCAAACATACCTGTAGGCAATACTTGCTTTTTTGATGTCAACAACTCTGGGATATTTGTCAGTGTCTTCTCTGTTTGTCTCTGTAAAAGATTTGCTGACTATCAAGATGGCGTAAGAGCAAAAAAGGTTACGTGAATGCAAGGAAGCCATTAGTGGTGTAGTGCTATCTAAATAACAAGGGGGCTCTTGCATAAAATGTTGCGAAAAACAATAGCAAGAGTAGAAATTTGCCAATTTTCGGCGTTAACAAAGAGGGCTCAGCCTCCCTGAGCCCCCCTAGCACTACACCCCTGGAAGCAAGCAGGGTTCAGTGACTGGATTTATATGGATAAATAAAACAAAAAAGGGAGGGTCAATAAAGATTCTTTTTCGACCAATTGACAATGAAATATCTTGAAAACTTTGATCCGGATACGCTTTATGCGATTAAGAGTAACTATAGACTGGGCAGTAGCCTGGCAATAGCTTATTTTGTTGGCAAGGTGAGTTTACAAAACTCAAAGATATATATTTGAATCAACTGTGAAAACAATCTCATTTTGGATTCAACAACGGAGGAGAGCCTGTTGCACAAGAACAGCAATAGAACAGCAATAGAAACGAACAACAAATTAAGATTAAATGTTGTATAAATATCTAAAAAGAAGCTGTCGATGCCGAGGCGGATCCAGACTACAGCAACCTATGCAGAAGCATAAGTCAGATTTTTACGACAAAAAATAAAATGGAAACTATCAAAATTATTAATCAATAGTTTCTTTGGCAAATTCTTTAGCGACGTCCGTCCTAGATCTGCCCCCGTTAATACCAACAACCTGCAGAAGGCAGGGCATATATTTTGCTGACTATCTTTCGGCCTCTGCACAGAAAAGTCGAGAGGCGATTCTAGACATTTATCTGGTCCGTATTTTCTGAATCCAGAAACTTGTTTGTCCCTCGAGAGCCAATCATCGCTTGTTTGACCTATGGAAACGTCTTGTGAGCCAATCAGAGTGTACTTCACCTCTGCAATCTTTAACGGGAGCATAGGTGAGATTTGATTTATCAAATCAGAAGTTGAGCTTGCCTCTGCAGCTGTACAGCCAACCAATAGGAATCAGAGTTGACCTATACAATTGTTTCAAGTGGACCTCTGCAATTGTTTGTTGCAGCCAATGAAAAGAGGATTGACTATCATTGCTTCAGCCCTGCTAAGGAACTTTTAGGGAAGTCAGTCTGCAGTGCCTGTTCTGAAGTGTAGTGGTATGACCACTGCGTCCGTAATATGAGGGGCACTGGTACGAATCCTACTGGGATAGGACTAATCAAACGCTTTTTTCCAGATAAAAGCGATGAAACGTTTAGCCCATTTTTGCCCTGATTGAATATGCTTACGTTGGTTATGGTTGGTTGTACTCCAAGAAAACGGCATCATGTCATTTTATTGAAAAACAGGTCATTTTACGACTGTCACCTGTTCTACAATACAGGCGGGAATAAATCTAGACATAAGTAATAGTTGTCAAAGAATTAGTAGATACAACTTTGACATTTCACAACCAATAACTAGCAACTCGTCTTTCTGAAAAAGTAGCATATGTCAAAATGAGTGTTGCAAACACTGGGTAGTATTTTTGTTTATTTCCCCAAAGAAGATATCTTGGAGAATACTTAAAGCAGGCAGGGAAAGTTTCAAGTACGCCCCCTTTAGATACAAAATTATCTGATTACCGACAATAAATTATGCAAAGAAACGATTTTAATTTGCCACGAGCTTATAGAAAAATCACACAGTTTATTGGGAAAAACTAATTTAAGGAATTTTTGAGGAAGCTTAAGCCGTTGCAGGCCTCTTGGTTCTACGAATCCTGTTCACATCAGGTGTGTTATTTGCATTCATAGATAAAACGGATCACGAGTTGCCAAATACACTCTTTTTATACGAACAATTTTTAAAAGAACATGAGCCTCAAAATTGGTCAAAAGTTAAGAACAAATTAAGAACAAGCTGGAGCTAATCTACTCTAAAATGCAATTTTGAACAACGTTCTATCTCAAAAACGTGGATTTTTAGCCATATGTGGTTGCTTTTCGGGAAAAATTCAAACTTGTCGGCAAATTAAGCAAATTTTCTCGCTCATTCTTTTGGCAAATGAGGCCTGACAAAGCTAGCAATCGCCCTGCTCACACCCAATTAATTTTAAAAAAAATTTAGAACAATCTAGCCGCAGATTTTCGAAAAAATTAAGAACAGTCGGCCTGAACTTAAACTTATTCTTATAAAAAGAGTGTATTCTATTACTATGAGTTGGCCGTAAACGTCTTCTCCAGCCAGGCTACAGGAACCTAGGGAGTTCTATGATTCTTTCATGATTGTAATCTCAACGTTCGAGGAGAACGCGAAGACCGTGCAAGGAAAGTAATATTGACTATAATTTGTCTATTCGTATTTCACGCCAAAAGGGCATTTCCTTCGAATGAGAGAAGTTTCAACACAAACAGATCATTTGCTTATTAATAACTTAAAAATTCACGAGACAACAGAATAAATTAGATATCGGAACATCTGTTATTTACTGAGATGAGAAATGACGTCAATGCCTACAAATATCATGTTTACAAGACCAAGCATTCTGCCTTTTAATCATGATAATTTAAATGCATAAACTATGCAATGTTGCATAATATATTCGGAAACAAAATGGACATACATATGCAAGTTTAATGGGTAGCTGGTCTGACATGATTAGCATAACACGATAAAGCACAATTTGATTTGCTTAATTTGCAAGCATTTTTACTTCCATTTCACTGTTGGGAAATTCCGAGATTCGGCAAATACTAAGGAAGTTGATTGCATATACTATGCGTTGGAGGAGGATTAAAACACATGGCAACGTATTTATGAAAAAAATCATAATAATGCAAAGTAAATATTGAATAATAGAGTTAAGCATCAACCACAGGGCACACTGGGCACTGTGTCCGGGGCCCCTGGAATTTCAGGGCCCCCATTTTCCTAGAATGATCAGAACTTTTTCGGAAAGGAGATTTATAACATAGATCAAAATCTAATCTTTTGGAAACCAAATTTTATTCTTTGCCCATCTGCAGCCTTCAACACGTTGCGTCATCGCTTCAAGACAATCTATGACAATGCTGCTAATCTGTCCGGGAAATAATCTGTGGTGCAGGCAAAAATTAAATAAATTAACAACTGTGCACTCTTCGCCCCATGTGCCACTCATTCGTTCAAGTTGATTGGTAGCACAAAATCTTTATGTGGCCCTGGAGCAAGTTTTGTCGAAGGGCTTGCAAAACATAAACAGAAAGGCTAGAAAAGAGTAGAAAATATACAGAGAAGTAAAGATGGGTCATTGGGGGCAAAAAGCACCCTTTCGAAAACTCCCCCCTTTCCCTTCTGTACATTAGGTAGTTTGCTTTAAAAATCAACGAAATCGAAGGATTCTTTGCTCAAAGAATTCCACACCTGCCTTCATTCTATGCATCGATTTAAAATATTTCACATCTATTTTAATTACTTCAAACAATAGACTCCTACTTTCATTGCTCACAAAAAGCCTTTTATATTGGCCAGTAATGGAAGTTTATCTAGCTGGTAAACAGTGAATCGTTGAAGTGTTTAAAATTCTGCTGTTTGGAGAAAGTTGCCTAAAATGCATGTGATGCTTTGGTTACGACCAGATTTTCTTGCGGGTATTAAGTTAATAATATGTATCCAATTAAAAAAATTGGTTGTCTTCCATATGGTTAGAAACCACAGACGATTACTTAGGCTTCATATGAAAACATGATATGGAGAAGTCTTTAAAAAGAAAAAACATATTGAAGGGAAATAAGTTTTAGGGCGATCTGCACATAACAGATGATTTGAAGGAGATAACTGTTCTCCTCAGCCAAAGCATGATGAGATAGAGTAGACAGTCGACTAGAAATAATTCTTTCTCAACGGGCACCAATTAGCTGTTTACTGGAAGCAGGCATTAGCAATCCTCAGCACTTTGTCAAGCAACCAATTCGACAACTTTGAGAAAATATTTAAGGGGAAATGAGGAAAATATTGGAAAACTTGAAAACGAAACCAACTGAATGGTGGTATACTATATTACGGAATGGCTTAGAATTATCAGTGAAAAAACGAAAAAGGTGTCGTGAAGAGGATGAGCCAAGCACTCTCTGTAATAAAAAGCTTCTTCAAATCGATCAGTGTAACAGGAGTGAGCCCTATAAAGTTCGAATATGCTGTACAGTTTATCAGCCAAAAAATCAATCCACAATAAAAAGCGTCAAGAATCCATATGATAAAGAATCGGTGAAAAACGTTAGAACAATTTTGAAGATCATGGACAAGTCTATTGTCAGGCATACCAGTATGACTGAACCAAATAAATTATTTCCAAACAGAGCAGATTTTGTTCTCCAATTTTTGGTCTGTGGTGTGGATCCGCCACATCTTTTTTCAAGGATGCCATACGTGTCCACTTCCTACTCTTTTATGAACTGCCTTAATGGACCGAAGTTGAAAACTTGTCACACGTGCTCTTAATTGCAAAACTTACTTTAAGTACGAGATATGAGTTCCTTACCTGCCAAGATTATTCCGCTATTTTCGGATCTCGGTATTTTCACGGTGAATGTTCCGGAGCTCGGCACTATCGAATCTGCAAAACAGGTAAAAGCAACACTGTTGACGGTCTTACTTGCTATAACGACGTCCTGAAAATGATTTCATCAACAATATAACAAGATAATGCAGTGCACAATGTAGGCCATTCAAAGCCTAAAAAACATTTAAGGAAATTTCATGCTAAAGAGCGTTTAAGGAAATTTAGGGGCATTTCTTAGAAAATTAAGAGATTTGGGGGGGGTAGGGGTGTGGTTTTGGTTTACATTATAATCTGATTCAATAAACCAGTTGTCAAGGTTTCATGCACTCTGGCTCCGAGGAGAGCAACAAATTCAATTTCAGCGGTACAAAATTGCACAATGGCTTTGAAAAAGCAAAAATTTTTAGACATAGCTTGAGATATAGCTAAATATTGTATGGTATGGTATTGTATAGTGTTTTCAAAGCCATTATAGTTTTACTTAAACAAATCTAGTAATTTCATGATATTAAGATAAATCCAAACTCTCAGTTTTCAAGAATGGTAATTTACCCTTCCCCACAAAGTAAGGTCATCATTGATAGGGGTCCTACCTACCTGTTACGTCAAATTCGATTTCCATTCTCACAGAAGTGCCGCTTTCACAAAGAGCTCGTTGGAAATCTTCGCTTGACATAAATTCAGTCCTAATGCCGCTTATGGAAAGAATTCTGTCTCCAGCTTGAAGGACTCCACTCCTGGGAATAGAGGTAGCTCGAATGAATTCTTAAATTTCCTTTGATTTGAACCAAGGCTTTACATTTGAAGCCCAGGCAACGAGCGCGAGGAAAGGTACTCCCCAAGCAAAATGACAAAAACAAACACTATGAGTCATAATTTCATGCAAAGCAGCAAGGACCTGATTTATTTGGGGCAGAAGCTTTTGGCCTCCATCGTTTACAAGTAGAGAAACAATCGTTGAAAAGCACGAGCCCAGTAAATTCTTAGAAATAGCAATGACTGCATGAAATGGGTGTTTTGGGATTGGTGACGTTCTGTGTTTTCTACGTGATTTTTAAAAAATTCTTGATATTATTTGTCCAGTGGATAATTCACTGGAAGGTGCATTTTTAAAGCTTTTTTCCTTTTTATGCTCTTTCTACTTTTCGACTCCACTTTATTTAACCCCAAACGTCCTTTATCAAAGCGTCGAAGCCAAAAAATATTAGAAAATCAATATGAAGAGGTTTACCTGTCAGCAGCCTTTCCCGCCAAAACAGCGCGGACCACAATGCAATTCATATCAAATCCACTTAGGCCATCTTGAACCTCGATACCAAAATCACCATCTTCAGCAATCAACACGAGGCCCGTTACCTCTGTCCGTGCTAACATGTTACCAACATTACATTGTGACAATGTACTGGAAGCCGACATAACAGATCGGGTATCATCGAACGATGCAAATCTGGTATTTGGTAGTACATTGCGTTTCAGACTACGGTAATTCAACTGATACGAGGCCATCAGCTCCTGTGGTTTCGGATTGCTTAAATTACGGTCCATACTGTTTAGTCTTTTGAGCGACGAAAGCGAAGTCTTTGAAGGGTACTGCCTAAGAGCTGGCTTCGCCAAGGGTAGTGTAGGTGTTCTTATCCTTAAGTCGCTTTCCAGTGGTTTATCCTTGGCAAGAAATTGCAGAAATTCGTTCATGCTTCCATGTGAGGGTGCGCTTGCAACAGCTGGTTGTTCCGTTGGCAGAATCTCTAGCTGAATGACTTTTCCAGATGTATCCATCATTTTACGAGCCTGGTCTACCGACATACCATCAAGACTAATGCCATTAATTGACAGCACAAGATCCCCAACAGAAATCGCACCCGTTCTAGAAAATGATCACAGGCTTTAGATAAAAATGATTAAAAGACAAAGATAAAAATGCTTACTAACTTGCATCGAGGAAATGCGAAATTGTGATAGGTCCCAGGCAAACAATCCATTCTACAGGTGTAAGACAGTGGTGGCTCCATTATCAATGCAAAATCACTTAAAAACAATTCCCACTTAAAGAGAGTCCCGTTTCCTCGAGCTATCCAGCGAATACTTTTAAGGTACAGTTGATTGGTTCAAGGCCCTTGCACAACCGAAACGCACTGCTGTGGCTGTTTTTTACGCTGGGAGAAAATGACTGTATTTGGTTTTTTCATGCAATACGATATTAAGCCGGTTTTGAGAATATAGTCGCAAAGCATGCCGGTTGCACAAGTTTTTAAAGGAACACAACTCTTTGGATCATTACTGTCTTTTTGCAGCACTTATGTTCTAAAGAACTAAGAATCGTTGCGTCAGAGAAAAAGTATCTTGTGATTCAAAAAAAGATTGCTGTTTGTTTACTAAAATAATTCAACATGTATTTGATGGAATAAAACACATCATATATCAATATTCAAACGGGATTGTTTGGTCAGTTTAGAGCAGCAGCTAAAGATCAAGGACCGTGTCTATTTACATTAATTCATATGACAACGCCACCACTGAATGGTTTTCACGTTAAAGCACCAGTTTGCATTTCAAGGTTGTTTAAATAAGCCTTGCCCTTATGTTAGTCTACGCTATGCATTTCAAAAAAAGTTTTATGGTGAACAAACAACAAAAATTATCTAAGACGCCCAAAGAGGTTCAACATGGTTTGGGCATCAATAACAGCTTTGAAAATAACGTGAAATTCTGCACACCCAAGGTACGACATATGGCCAGTTGTTTTATAGGAATTTGCATAATTGTAAAGAAGAAAAAATTTCGTATTTGAAAAAAGATATCAGTGTTTTGAGAAACTCACTGACATTGAGAACCACACTGTTTCCTTTTCATCTTGCTAGTCAAAGCCCTATTGAATGAGTTCCCTCTTTCTCAAATTTTTCCCTTCTTCAGTGGAGACACCTTTCTGATCACTATTAGCTGTTCTTTTTTTGATCTTTAGGAAGATCTCCCAATAGCTTAATACTTTTGGCACAGGTCACAACAACAGAAGAAAAATATTGCAGGGCAGCAATTCCTTTTAACGGCCAATTAATTTTTTAATTTGCTATGTTTCTGTTAATATATTTTTATTTTGTTTACTGATGGAATCCCATCCCTCTGCTACCATCACTTAAGTAATTTCAGATGGACTCGCACTACATCTTACAACCTTTCATTTCCACAGGACTTTTGTCTTACCGAGTCGCCAATCCTGATGACGTCAGTTTGGAGATCACCACAATACTTCCTTGTTGCTCATGATCAAGGGACACTGAAATATGAATAACGCAAGTAAGACCACTAACGTAGATGAACATCGAGAAAGTAGGGGAGAAGAGGGGTAGTTGGGAAGAAGGGAGTTTTAAAGCATGAAATCTTAGTACTACTGTTGATGAAATAGAATCTTACAACTTTAATGGGTAGCGAAATTCAGTTAGAAAAGAAACATGCGGAGAGGTAATTTCACAAGCCCTAAAAGATTATACCCTAGTGTAAACTTTTTTAGGGCATAAACTCAACTTAAAGGCAAATTTTTGGTCGAATAATTAGCATGGAAAAATATCTGAGAATTTCTAAGATTGCCCTGCTAGTCGATCAAGTTTGCTCAACTGATGAAAATGAATCGAAAAGTAAGCGCCATTCGGGATGGAGGGGGTGTGGGGGATGTTGGTGAGTCACGCTTATTAATGAAAAAGAGAGTCATTTAAGCAATCATTGTACTCCAAATAAAAATGAAATTTTCGACCAAAGAGGAAAAAATAAGTGTATGGCTGAACTATGGGTTGATAGTAGTAATTGAAGTAATGGAGACAAGCGACATTTTCGAAATTTTACCAAAAAAATCTATCAAATGGAAACAACATCAAAAATAAATTTTCTTGAATTTCAGAACGAATCGCAATGAAGATCATCATAGAAAAAGGGAGTGCAAAAGATTATAGATTTTATGGTGTATACAACTTAATACTTGACAAAAAAGATACAAAGGGAAGCCTAACAGTGCATTTTCTGGTTAGGCCGTATTTAAGTTTATTGTGATAAATTTTGCTTGACATCTTTATCCCCTACGTCCGTCCCCCAGGCACTTTCAGACTAAAATACAATTTAGAGGAAATCCATTGAAAAGCTACTGTTGAAAACAAATACAAACCATCCAAATTCATTCCGGGCTGAATGCTTTCGTGTGGTCTTGAAATTTCCATCATGACACTGCCTCGAGGTGTTTCTTTCAAATCTAAAAACAACTAATTACATCAAAACAAATTTCATTTAGGTCGATAGAGCAAGCAGAGATAACAGCTACTGAAGATCGTCTGGCCTTCGTTTGTCTGTCTGTCGTAACATTGTAACGAAATTATCATTACCTGGGCTTACAACATTGAATTGGATCTTTAACGAATACTGTGTTTTCAGCTCTTTAACGATTGACTTGACTTCAGAGGCGTGGAGGTTGTCAATGCTTTTGTTGTCTATTGCCAAGACTATGTCTCCTTCGAAGAGATCTCCACAACTAGAAAAAAGTTTATCAGATTTAAAGCAGTACAAGGTATATATAGAGTTAGAGGCTGCTAGAATACAGGAAGCTTCGTGCAGAGAAATAGAGCTCTTGCTGAATGTGAAATTGATAGAAATAGTTGGACATCTCTACACAGCTCCTAGGACTGAGACATGCTTGATTTAATAAGTGAAAAAACTTTTGATGTTCGTAAATGATGACTAATATCATGATTTTGCGATTTTTGACCATCATAGTAGTGTCTTCGTCAAAATTGTCCTTATATAAAGGAATTGTACAGTTATCCTGCAACGAAGCAAAGTCATGAATTTGGCAATTAGGAAGTACCTTGTGAAAAGCTCAGTTTATATATGATGTACAATGTGCCAGACATAATGCACTTATCGTTTGAATTATAAACCTACTGTACGACTGGCTGCTAAAGACGGGACAAAAGAAATCATTACCTTGCAACTTCACTTTCCTGTTTGAGATCAGAAACAACAAACGGCCTATTCACGCGACCATCCTTGCTTCGACCCCCTGTACAAAGAAAGAACGTTGTTCAGACTTAATCAGAATAGTGGAATAATCTTATACGTTTGTATGGAGTAATTTCAAAAGCCTTAAATGACTGGCAAATGCTTCAGGAGAACACTAGACGAATAAATAAGCTTCCAATCTGCTAGTAATTTTGATGTGTTACCTTGTTTATAAAATTTCATTTGTTCAATGAAGAACATTTTGTTGTACAAAATATAATCTAAGTAGTATAAAAGCAGGATCTAATTGCTAAAAATAGGCATTACAAAACTTTTTCAAATGAGAAAATCTAACCATTATATTCGTACAAATATTTCACCAACACCTCATTAACCATTCCTACTCATAACCGACTCTCAATTTATAAACATGGTTAGCGTCTCCACCCCCTTCCTTTAATCAACGGATTTCGCCTGGTATCTCAACCTTACATTCTATTAATGAGTACTGGACCCCTACAGGGGCTTAAGAGTACAATCAAAGAACTCGAGCATAGCTTTCAAGCTCTTTAGACTGCGAGGACAGGGCCATCAAGGTCGACAGAATGGTTTCACTGACCAGTCTCTCCAACAAAAGAAATAGATACCTGGGTAACCTTATCTTGTCCTGTTTGGCTGGATAAAATTACCTAGCTATCAAGAACAAATTATCATGGCAGCATTTTCAATTTGATTTGTTGACAGTGGGTTAACCATATATCCACCATAGAAGAGTTGTTAAGGCAAAAACGAAATCCATTTGGCTGTTGGGTGGCGACAAAATTATGACCTATATTAGCTCTTAAACTGAACGTATCCGATTTTGAACAGCCCGTGATTTTGAAGAGAACTTCTTCAATTACTGCACTGGGTATTAAAAAGCAAAAGGGGGATTCCGGTCCGTAAAGCTATAAGCGGGGAAACCTAACAAGATCTTCAATTTCTCCAAAGCACTGTTGCTATGGCCGAGAGATTGGAGACACGACCCTTGAACATGCACTTTTAAATCATTTTATGTGCTACATTTAGCTAAAAATCAAGGCTTTTTGGACACAAAAATGTTTCCAGCACTTAAAGGCAATCTGTCACGAAGTTGATTGATTATAAGAACAAAGGTATTTGTTATTGTTTCCAGTCCTCCTTTAATTTATCGCATTGTAAAAAATATGGCGGAGCGCTGGAATCGTGTTTAGACTATTGTTCCAGCTATTGTTCTCATTAACCAATCCACAAAGAGACAGATTGCCTTTAACCAAACCGATCTCCCATGACATTTCCTAGTGATGTCCTTAAAGAAGATTCTAGCTTGCGAAAATATTTCGATTCTAACTCAGATTCAGCAGTTAATTTGAAACATTGTGCCGTACATTCGCTAGGTCTTTACATTTAAAGGGAAAACGCCCGAATTCGTTTGGGATGGAGGGATTGCGGTAAAAATACACATTGGGCAGTATAATCATCGTCACTTTAAAGAGATTTAGAATCCTTACCGAAAAATTTATCTGCGAGAAAAATCTGATTTCAGCGCTCTACTATTTGTACCTTAACCACAGAGAAGTGACTTCCGTTCTTTAATGGAGAGTGTCTCCGAAGAGATCTTCAATAGGTTCCTTGATTTAAAAGATCTTCACATTGAAAAATTTTCAAAACATTATGTTTTTGACCATGTTTTCTCCTCTGCCTTGGAGTGGAGACCCAGTTTAATTTACGTAGCGAAATGCAACTTAAAAGACTCGCTAAGATTTATATGAATAAGAGAGTTACACAGGTATACAAGATGAATCGCACAAGAACCTTTTGATCATATCTAGCTACTCAATACCCGGCTTTAGGAATGGCATTAGCTGATTGGATATAAATACCTGACATGTAAAAAAAAGATATTGACATCCTGACGCCCAGATAAAACGATTTGAGGTTTACTAAGGTAGATTATGGAACAAAACTTCAATTCGATTTGGAAAATTTAGATATAAATCTTTTTGAAAAAGTGTACATCATTTTTAAGGCTATTTACCTCGCAAGGTGAATTTCAATTCACCGTTCTCTTTGCATAGGTCAAGGGTTGTGGTTTTGCTGACCGCGCCTTCTATGGGAAACAAAAGCATATTTATATTCAAACAAGCAGTGAAAAAACTCACATCCTACCTTAAGATTTGCCGCATTTGCCGAAGTTTGACTACTGTTAGATACAGTGGAACCCAAGTTAATACGGCCACCAACGGGCCACCAAAAATTGGCCGTATTAACAGGGTGGCCGTATTAACGAGGAAGGGTCAAATTTTGGAGCTTTAGGGGTAGAAATTAATAATAACATCCTGAGGAACTGTTCTCTTTAATTGACATCTAGAAATGTAGATAAAATTATAAAAATTATGTTAAATAACTAGTCTACGGAAGTCCTGGTTTTTTGGGCCTTAATCACCAAATCATGTCCATGATTTTGCGAAAAAAATTGCTAACTTTTGACTGGTCCGTTCTGCGTTCCAGCCAATCACTTCAAGTATGGGCAATCACACCTGAAAGGGCGTCTGCCGTGTCATTGTTTTCTTTTGACTCGAGGAAATATAATACATCTTCAAGGCAAGATGTTGCCTCACGATACAAATGGCCGTATTAACGGGGTGAAATTATAAATAATCCAGCTGTTTGGGATCGCAAAATTGGCCGCTGGCTGTATTAACGGGAGGCCCCATTAACGGGCTTTTTGTGAGACTATGTCTGGCCATTTATCCGGGCCAAACAAATGTGCCCGTGATAACGAGGTGGCCGTAATAACGAGGTGGTCGTATTAACGAAGTGGCTGTATAGCGGGGTTCCACTGTAAACAACCTTAAAGTTTAATGATGCCCAATCTTATTATTACGTAAACATAAATAGACATTATGCATAAAAAGATGCAATTCAAAGATAGACAGTGCGTTAACAATAATATCAAGTTCAGAGTTTAATAAGGATAAATTGGCATTGTTAAAACCCAATGGCATCCATAATAGCAAAATAAAATACAGAACTTTATTTTATCTTAAAAATAAACAATGTGAATCTTGTATATCACAGTTAGTATTACCTGCAGATGGCCTCTTATATTGCATCTTGAAACAGAGGCGCTTTCCTGCCTCTTGGATGAACTTTATCAGTTCACTGTGCTTCAGCTTCGTCACATCCTTCTCGTTAATTTCCAAGATTAGATCACCAACACAGAAGTAGTCCGACCTGAAAAATGTAAACATGAAAACCAGAACATAAACAAAATATTCAAAATCTTATGGAAATGAGGCAGATATAAAGTTGTACACGAAATAATCTGGATACCGTGAGCATCCAATAACACTAACTTTAATTACCTCAAACTGCTTTCACATTGCCCTTGAATCTTTCTCAATAACTTCTTATAAAAATACTGGTTAACTCAAGCCCCAGGTAACTCTTAAATTTGTTATCTCTACCCGAATAAATCACTATCTATCGTTATCTATACCTTTCTGCCATTTCTCCTTGATGATTTGACATTTTCTTTGCATAAGGAAAATTAAAACAATAGCTGGACTTATTTTAAACAATAACAATAGCTTTATACCAGTTTATTGCCACTGGGAGCTTGACATGTATATAGATTTTAACAATAACAATTTAAGTAACAAGAAAATGAAACAGATTAATTCGCTTCCTTTTAAAGACAAAAGCAGATGTGTTCCAAATTTAAAAAGACTAAAAGAAATCTTAGAAAGTCATAGCCTGGGAACTTCAGTTTTCTCCTTGAAACTTGCAAAACAAAGAAGATCCTGATTGCCATAGAAACCACAGAAACTTTGCTATAACATTGTTTGACTTATAATTGAGCCTGAACAAACAACCAAATATCTGTGACAGAATTAAACCTTAATTGTTTACTTACTGATCTGCAAGTCCTCCAGATCTGATATTTGCAACATAAGGTGGCTTTGGCTTGTCTGTGCCTCCTGTAAAAAAGGAATACCACCTGGTACTTTAAAAAGGAACTCTTAGGAAATACCACTGAAATTCTTTCAAAAACAAATTAAAAAATGGTTACAAAGTTGTCAGCTGTTCAAAGCTATCACCATAGGGCTGAACTTTATTGTCACTTTCTCTACAATAAATAACCTGAACACTATACTTGACACAAGGGATCTTTAAAATTGTTCCCAGCTTGTGTGAGTATAAGATCTAAATCTTTAAATATAATATATGGAGTATGTGTACGTGTAACATATATACCGGTTCATTTGCTCTCTTCACACATAAATTGCCCTGAAGATTTAAAATGGGTCAAATTTTTCAAAATTGCCTGTGTATCTTTATGGATTGCTATCAACATTTTCACTGGTTTAATTTTAAGATAGAATTTATGACATTGACACAATTTTACCTGAAATTGTGAGGCCAAGACCCTGGTTTTTCCCTTTGACAAGTTCAACAATGATGATACCTTTAGAAATACAAACAATGTACATTTATGGCAACTTTGAAGGGAATTCAAGATCTACACCAGTCCAATAGCCAACCTAGCAATGTGTGTGGCTTCACTACTTGAAATCTCCTTTTCAGTTATCAGTAGTGACATAAAATGTGAATGGCAAGGGCAAAAGGCCTCTCAAGAAGAGGGCTTGCCCTTTGACTTTAGCGAGGCACCAGGCTGGCTGATCTTCTTTGATTACCAGGGTGTTGAAAAACTTACAGCCTTAGTAGTCACCCTCCCTAAAGACATAAAATTGAAAGCAATTGGTAATATAGTGGCATATTCAGGCTGGGAAACTCCATTTAGTGGTTAAGGAACTTATGTAATTTTTTTAATATTACTATATAGTCACAGCTTTGCCACGTTGCACTTCTCTTGTTGAGCCATTAGAGATTCTCATGTGACCCTCAAGAGACACTTGAAAAGCTTGTCTCTGGGAAAAGGTGTGATGAACTTCTAAACTATCTTTTAAACTGCTTCTCTAAATGCTTGCCTTTAATCCCTAACCTAGTTCCTAGTTTGCCATAAGATTCTGAAGTTCTTTCATGTCATACAGATAGACTCAGTTTATCTTGTTTAAACTAGTCTAGTCTTTGTGTCCACAGTAGACAGGGTGCTTGCCTTTAATCACTAAGCTAGTTCCTAGTTTGCCATAAGATTCTGAAGTTCTTTCATGTCATACAGCTAGACTCAGTTTATCTTGTTTCAACTAGTATAGTCTTTGTGTCCACAATAGACAGGGTGACTGGGTGCGTGAAAAGTTTTTGCAATGTAAAAAGCAGGTTGGTTGACTTCTAAGCAGAAATTAAGAAAAAGAAGGGAAGAGGTTTTATACTTGTGGTGTTCCCCTTAAAGGCAGTTGTTCTGTTTGTCCAAAGAGTAAAAAAATTAAGTCAACAAGCTTAAATATGAACAGCAAAAATAGATTCAAACCAGTGGTGGTTTTAAGGACTGCAGGGCCCTTTTTCTTTACAATTTCTATCTTTTTTCTTAGGTGTGGGGCCCCTTTTGGCTACAATAAGCAAGGGGCCTGGGGCCATGGCTCCCTGGACCCTTCCCCCTTTAAACTGCCACTGATTCAAACACAACAAGAAACTGTCCATGGTCACAATTAACAAGGGAATTTGTTATTGTTTTCACTTCCTTCTGGGAGAATGTTCAAGGTTCAATTTTCATAAAAAATGATTAGCATTTTTGGCTGTTTATTCTGGATGTGACAGAATCAATTTTCTTCTGGAGTGTTATTCTATCATCAGATTCAGTTGTTGTCCTAAAGTAATAAAATTTGATGTTAAACTTCCAAAATATAACTCAGGAATGTTCTTCAAGATTACCTTTTTCTTCATCATTTTCTTTCAATTCCCACCTGAAAAAAGTAATTTAATATTATACTGCATGGGTGCGAAATAGTGATTGCCTGTTAAGTAAATTCAATCTTATCAAAAAAGTGGATGAGATGCAGCAAAATGTATGCAAAAACAATCTAGAACATATGAACTAAATATGACAACATACCTTTCAGTTCCTCCACTGCTCTGGCCTCTTGTCCAGATAAACAGTCGCTCTAAAGGAAGTTTGATTAATAATCATAAGACAAAGTCAAAATAAAACAAAATAAAACAGAATTATTAAAAAGTTATATCAGTGGTAGCTCCCCCCCCCCCCCCTCCTCCACCATTCTCGTCAGAAATTCAGACTTTTGTTAGATAATTGACAAATGTTATTGTGCCAAAAGCCCATCCAAGATGTTATTTTGTCAGAAAATTGTAGGCCTGAGCTTCCCCCCCCCCTCCCAAAGAAAAGCCTAAATTGCCACCACTGAGTTATATTAAAACATAATTTATGAAATGGGAAGGGTTTAGCCTATGCAATTGACTGTCATGATTGTTACAGCAATTACAGAATTTTGTCAGGAAGTTCAAAGTATTTGTCTACTCTAAAAAATAGGTCCCACTGGGTATATAAACATAGTGGTTGGGGGAACAAGAATGTATTTAAAGTTCCTCATTGCCCCATGATTGCTAAGTCAATAACTTTCCTTGACAAAAAACAAAATTTAAAAATCTAATAGTTCTCCCAACTTCCAATAATGCCTACTTAAAAAAGCTTTAAATATACACTCTTGTGCTTTCTTAATCCATTTCCTATTTAGTTGGAGATTTTTTGTGGAAAGTATCCTTGTAATAGAGAGTACAATATATATTCTTTACGTTCATTATAAACAAAACAGGCAACCACTTAAAAATGCCTGTTAGGTGACGTCGTTGATTGATCATTTAATAACTTTGTAAACACGACGTTATTTCCAAATTAATCTGCGGCTTCTTGATAATCAATGCCAACATAATAAACATTTAAAGAATTTTGTATCGTTTTTCTCTAAAAACTTCGGCATAAAGTGGTATGTAGGGGACCAAATTGTGTTATTGCAACTTCAAGCTTTCCCGATCCCAGTCACGGCATGTGTTAGTGTTGATGGTTTGATTCAGAAAATTCGACAATGTTTATTTGCCTTTAAATATGTATACATGGATCAAAAGTGTTCATTATCTCATGGAACATCAAGACAGTTATCGCTATCTAAATATGTATCCAAGTGGGATTCATAGCAAGACCATGAACAAACATCGAGGACAATATGTGGGCTACAAACGTTGAAAAATAATCTGGACTTACCGAGTTTTGGAGCACATGTAAGAAATTTATTCATAATTCCCTGGACAAGTCACACCCGAGCACGATATTCTTTCGTCAGGATTTCAAGTTGTATGTTGGCATGCTATTCATGACGATTTAAATACTCTTGGTTCATTTGCACCCTATTAATGTCGTGACCAGCCTGGGCCTAAGGTGGCTCACCCCATAAAACTCTTGCTTGTCGCTTAGGATCAAGCTGCGACATTCATTCACCATATCCGCAATAAACACTCATTTCAATCTGAACTGAGATACACTCTGTGTGACTGCTGGGCCAGGATCAATTTTATGTCCCAGCTTTCTTCTTTCTTTCGCGTGCATGCCCCTCTCTAATCGACTTCGGCCTGATACCAACAAAGGGGGCTGGAACGCCGTAAAACACGGACCAAATGATGTTGGCAGAATTTCGTTCTGGGACCTATTATTATTATTGTTATTGTTTTTATTATCATTAACATTATTATTATTATCATTATTATTATGACTCTCTCTCCATCGATCAGCAACAAAAACAGTATCTCATTTCTAAAATTTCCAACATTGCCATCCGTACTACGTACTACATATTTTGTTGCAAAAATAAGCCATGGACAAATCCGGAATTACATCCTTTTTAACTTTAGTTGTTTTATTTTATTTTTCTCAGTTTTTCCTTTTACCTTACGATTGTTATAGTTTTTTCTTGTAAAACCAGGCTAGCCAATTGCAAATTACCTTGTAATAGTGAGATTTGTAGTTGTAGTTTAAGTTGAATTGAAAATGAAATGTTTCCACTATTATTATTATTATCATTATTATTATTATTATTCTTTCTCTTTACTACGATTGTAATAGTCCTATTTTGTAAAAACAGGCTAGCCAGTTACAAATTACCTTGTAATAGTGAGATTTGTAATTGTATTTTTAACTGGAATTCAAAATGAAAAGTTTCCATTATCATTATCATCTGTTTATTTAAGTAGGCCTATAAAAATAGCTACAAAATGAAAGCTAATTCAAGCCTACTACATAGGTAAAATTGTTTAAAAATACAAAAGATAGAAATACATATATATCTAACATGAGAAATAATTAAGTATAAGTACATATATACATATTTTACAATGTTTTCCGGCATTTTTTGGCACCTAGGGAGATAACATTCCAAGTTCAGCCAAAAATTTAAGAAGGCAATGTATGACTTTGTTATCTGTTCCCAAGGGATGCACACCATGATTTTATTGCCCAGGGGGCATTTCTAGTACACCCATGAAAGGTGTGCTCAGATAATTGGGTGAGGGATTTTTAAACCAAAAGAGAATTTGTTCGTAACTTACATACCCAATTATAAGCTTTTTGATTCGACGATAGTATTAACTATAGTTCATGCTCTAATACTCACTCTTGCCATTCTTGCCTTTTTCAATTTTGTCTGTTGACCAAATTTTTCTTAATTCCTTAGCATTAGAGATCCAGGACTGTTCTTGCATTGAATGAACCAAAAGACTATTTTAACAAGCGGCCTACCCAAAAAGTATTGCTTACCCAAAGTCTACACCCAAAAAATTTCCCGAGCATCCCTGACATCAATATACCAGAGAACCCCCTGGGTTTCATCGTGTTTGCACTGTTTCTCCACCAAAAGTCGTTAGTTGGAAAGTGAGAGAAGGAAAGGATGGTGGGGTGGGAAAATGAAAGACTCGTAGTAAAAGTTGGGATTTGAACCAATGCAAAAAAGTGGAAAAATTTGGCCCCCTGCTCCCCTGTGGCCGTATGTTCACACACGGATTAGCCCCCAACAACACTGAAAGAGCACAGAATGGGAAGCAATCGGCTTCAGTGCGTTTCGAAAGAGAATTTGAACTTTCTGCACGAGCACATACTAAAAGGGGCATTTTCAACGCGCTGACCAGGAGGCACTTACCCTTCCTGCTATGGTGAAAATTTTTTGATTAAAACATTCGTCATTACCCCCTTTTATAAGAAAGAAGAATTGAAACCCCCAGCTGACACTCCTTGAAAGACAATGTTATAAAATTAAAATATCCTACAAAGAGCGAAGTTAAAAATCGAGCTACTGTGCTCTCTTTCGGGTCCTGGTACACTACAGTCCGGGTTTCAAACATGACGTTTCCTAAGTTTCTTTGCACGATTTGTGCCGCACAAAACAACGCAAAACCGCAAGGAGATCGTCAACGCAAGATTGTCCTTCTTTTAAATAACTGAAAATTCTAATTTGAATAGGCAAAATTCTTATATACTTAAGATAGCCGAAAGGTTTTTCATCTTTTGCCGCGGATGGGCACTTACAAAGCAGTAAGTTGGAAAACAGAAGGACAATTCCTAACAAAACACGTAACTGAAAGCAAAATATCACGTTTGCTGTATAATCGCTTTCATCTACTTCCTGGAGCCCGAAAACTTTCTATTTGAAGGTCGTTGGCGGTTAGCCACCACTGTGTCGTTGGTACCGCCATGAAAGATAATAACGTTTGATTCAGGCTTATCGAAGAGAATAAGATGGCAACCTCAACAATTCTCCAAATATAATCGAGTTTTTGAAATGGCAATCATAGGATAAGGTGTCTCCTCCTCATTTGAAAACATAGCATTCTAAAAAGGCATTAATATTCTCTTCTTCATTTGAAACTGTTTCCTTTGAGGTTAATAGCAGGTACTGAGACAACAGACTTAAAAGCGTGTATCAACGAGGAAAGGAAGTCAGGAACAGTGGGCTCTGATTAACCACGTCGTTGTAGCTTTCATCTGACTTAATTGCGTAGCGGAGGCATCTACGAGCCCTCAGGAAAAAACGCTGAGACGGGGACCCTATTTATGGAGGACTGCAAGAAAGTCCCATCCAACGCATCTCATCGCAACGCAAACACCATAGCAAAATGTAATCATAAGAACATTTTCTTGTTAACTAGGGAGAGCTTAAGTGATAGAAAACGTTAGTTGACGAAATTTAAAAGTTCTTGAAAATGAGGTGAACTGGAGCGAAGTTTAAAAAACATAGATAAAAAAATTTGGGGGCCCATTTTGGGTGGGGGGCCTTTGTCATCTAACTAAGGTGCCATAAACAGCGTTACGCCACTTATCTAACTTCATAGTTGGATATCTTGATCACTTGGAAGACTATTAAGCTAGAGACTGTTGTGAACCGATGATAAAAGCCAATCTTACTAAATAAACAAACAAATCATTATACATCCACAAATATATCATTCACTCACCAACACGTTTTTAGAAAATATTTCAAGATACTTTGACCAAGCCACATCTACTAAACCAACATGAATAAATATAAAAATCCAAATTTAAATATCACTAAAGGAAACAATAAAATATTATAAAACCAGCTCATCTGGATAATACTTAAAACATGAATGTTAATTGTCACCTATCTTTATCAAACGATGCCAAAATTTATCCTGTACTCTGGGTAGCAGAACCATATAAATTCGAGCGCGAAAATAGAAATCAGGACTAGGGGCGGAAAGCGGAAGAGCGTCTAGGCTGAGAGGAAGAAAAAGTTGCTCTGTTGTATCTAAATTTCAGAACTAGGCCGCCAGCTGCTAAAGCAATTATTAAGATTACAAATGGAATGCTTAAGAGTTATATTTAAATTTTGGGATATTAATCTAGATTATAATTATACGGAGGTCTCAACTGAGCATAAACCTTCAGGCATTACAGTCTGAGCATAAACCTTCAGGCGTCGATCCTCAGGTTGAATAATAAATTTTTTGGATAATCAGTTTAATAAATAATTGACAAGTAATATGAACTCTTGATGGAGTAGCAAAACAAAACAGTTAATTTGCTGTTGTAAGTTCCAATCTGGAACAAAAGGGTCATGAAGGGGCCGCTCGAGCAAGTCCCTCTTCCATTCTAAACTTCAAATCTTCAAAATATCAGTATTCAGGAAAACTATTATCGTTAAATAAGGATAGCAACTTTTTCCCATTTCCAACCATTTAAAAACTATATAAAAGCACCAAGCCGTAAAAAACAGGCTTTTTGTTAGGGCTGATCTGTTTTTTGCATGACGGTTAGCAGAACTTGTTTACAAATCAGTACGAGGCCACACCAAGTGATCAGTCTCGGTTCTACCGATAGCACAGGAAGCTTAACAGAACAGGAATCATAACCCAACGTATTTGGGTATGCCCTTTTACCGCGACTCTGAGCTAAAGTCCTCCAATCCGATCGATTTTACTTTGAACATGGCCCGTACCTCTTTTCTACATTACATTAATTTCGACATAGGAATGTTACTATGCACGATCGCTAACAAGTTTCAATAATGCAATTCATTTAAACATACGAAAACATTTACACGTCTTCACGAGATACTGTGGACGATCCTGCCACTTTTGATGACGTAGCTAATAAGCTCGTTATGACTTGCCATTTGGTAGATCAGGTGCTGCCACCTACAAACACAAACAAAACAGTACCAACACGAAACGAACAAAACAAGAGAGTACTTAAAAGGAGAAGAAAAGTCTTTACTTTTCTCAAAACTTCAGCTTTAAAACGAATATCAACGGTGTCTCAGTTTTGATTAGATTTTCATTTGACTTATAAAATCAAAATAACGATTGCTGAAATTATATCAATCACCTAATTATGTTCACAATGCAACTATTGAGTACAATATTTTCCAATGTTTTCCTGGCTTAATGCTTCCTGGTTTATATTTTCTAGCTTATAGTTTGCTATATATTACCTAGCTTATAGCATAATGCATATCTCCTAGCTCAGTGTTTTGATCTATGTTCTGACGATTGATGCTCTGAAGAGTGCCAGACGAAAAGCTTAAGTATAAGTTAAAACGTTAGCTTTTTCAAAGCCATTTTTTAACTTTTGAACCCCCAAAAGATTGTATAATTCATGTTTTCTTTGCAAGGTGACGTAGATCATGTATTCGTTCAAACCATAAAAGGAAATATCAACTTGTATAAACTAAAGGTGTTTACTAAGTTACCTGGGTGCATTGACAACTAGAAGATCAGCTACTTTCCCAACTTCGATTGAACCGTGGGTCTTTGATCGTCCAAGAGAGGCCGCAGCATTGATTGTAGCAGCAGAAAGAGCCTCGTTCATGGACATATGGAGGACAATACATGCTAAATGCATTGTTAGTGGCTTGGGAGGAAGAACAACAACAAATTCTTAATGATGACGAATGAAATAACAAATAAGATTCTAAGGATTGGATTGCAAGTAGAGAAATACAAACAAATTTTAGTATAAAAAACTAAAAATATATATTAATGTACTATCCTTTTATAAGCTGAGGTTTCCGAAGGAGCAAATTCTAGGAAAATTTAAGAACAGCCCCTTTTAAAGAACTATAGGAGTGAAACAACGTTAAGCTTCAATGCACTAGAAATTAAGAAATACTTGAGAACTAGAGCTCGTGTTTATTGCAACCATGACATAATACT